GCTATTGCCTTATATTCCAGGACATTTTTCCTGCCAAAACCAGGCATGTGTGCACACATGCACACACAGGGCTTGCCTTCTACTTGAGGTCATAAAGCAAGCCAGGGGGCCCAGCCTTCTGCAGTGGGAACTCAGCGTTAGGAGCCACCATCATGTGTCTATCAAGGAGAAGCAGTAGCTATAGAGTCCAGACGCTACAACTCTTCAACATCAAACACAGGGCAAGACAGGAATATTAGGTGCACAATGTTTTTACAGCATTTTTCTGGAAAGGAAACCCTGCCAATCCAACTCTCCCACATTTTATCACAGTAGATACAGTACGTTTTGGTCTAGAGAAAGATTTGCCTGACCAGGATATCATGGGTTTGGTTTTTCTTGCCAACTGTGCACATTTAGTATTGCTTGATAGTCCCTAGATTGCTCATACCTCATATGGCTGATGGCAGGAGCCAAGAACTTGTCGTACCTGCAAGGTGGGCAGAACTGAAAGATTATACACAAGGTCACTTCTGAAAAAGTGAGAACAAAAATCAGCTTTCCAGTAAGGCAGAACTAAACCTTGTTCAGTTCACTGAGCCATGTCATTGTTCATGCTGTATGCCACTACTCTTCTGATCTTCTAATACCCCTTTCCCAGTCTCTGAGAAAACCCCCAAAACTTGATTCCTGCCATTCCACTAAGATTTCATAGATTTATTTCTAGAAGAGTAACATACATTGTTCCTTACAATATGAATTTAGTCCCTTTCCTCAAATAGAGGATAGCTTTGCTAGCGGATTTTTTCTTCCAATTTTGGATAATTGAAATGCTGTTTTGGAGAACAGTTTGTGGTACAGTTTGCCTGTCTAGAAACAGAGAGTTACTGTCTATGCAGAGACAAACTATGACTTAAAAACAGTAACATCTGGCTTTATTTGAAGATAAAGCTCTGATTGTAGCTGGGTGTTTCATCCTTACATTTGTACTGGCAAACACCTGAATGTCTGACATCTTTTGGGAGTGCTCCAACTCAACAAATGTCCCTGAGGTCTCCCCCAGAAAGCATCAGACCTCTTCCCCTTATTCCCACACAGCCGAAAGCGAGATGATTTCTCTGAACACAGAAGCAGTGACAACTAATGAACTCCTTAAATAATAAGTGAGAAACAAATTAAAATTCACATCCCTAATAAAAGTTTGAGGTACTGTTACTGTGAAGTAATTTCCCTTTGACTTACTACGATGTTCATAGCCATGGCAGACACGGGAAGAAAAAGATACATATCTCCACAGGGAACATGTCCTTCTGGATGAGCCTTTAGGGAAATCATTAGATGAAACAGAGAGTAGTGACATTTAGATGAAGGTGAAAGAATGAAGCTGCTTATCAAAGCTTGTAACAGTAAGACCTATTCGTACTTATCAGTTTGCACTGTGGGTGAATCCTCTGTTCTTACACAGCTGTTTATACTGCACTGTTTATAGTTTTGTCTTCCCTATAGCCCCAATGGGTAAAACAGATGAAAACACCTTGCAATAACCCCGATTTCAGACAGTTAGCAGAATGGGGTTCAGATTGGTGTACTTGCCAAGCTGCACTAGCATGCTGGAGGACATGTGCACATCTACACTTAGTTTCCCCACCCATACTCTGAACCATCACTGATCTTCCCTGTCCTGTGATTGCAAATCCATTCCCCATCTACTCCTGATGCTTTTGCAAACAGGGACCCACACTTATTTTCAGGCACTGGCAGATGCCCAGTTGACCAAGGCACTGTTGGATCCTATAGACCTTTGTCTCTTTATGCTCTGGGACATACAAACCCTAAGAAAGTCCTGTCATGGGTGAAGACTTTGCCTTGACACTTGTGACTGTGTTATATCCAAAACCCTCCCGCCTCATGTTTCAGCTTCTCCCTCCTCATCTCTTCCTCACCAGGACTCATGAGTAGAGGCAGTGCAGACCTTCAGGATTACTGATGGTGGGCTATCTCCAGCCTTGCCAGGGACCTGTTCAGCACAGGGGTGCTTTGCTCTGCCCTGAGGTGAATCCCAGGAGCATTTCTGTGCTCTGCAGACATAAGCTGCACATAAGAGAAGGGGCTGATGCCACCAGGGCTCCCTCCACCACTTTCTCCAAGAGCTCTTCACAACAGTCAGAGCCAAGATCAGACACTTGCACCATATCAGAGAGTTGGGCTTGAGTGAGGACAGCTAAACCAGCTGGGATGGGCAGGGGGAGGACATGCACCACGTGCAGTGCCGTATATCACTGGAGATGGGGAAGAGGCAGTCTCTGTCAGCCACGGCCTCCTGTCTCATCAGTGGGCTGCTGTGGACACTACCAATGCGCTATCCACTTTTCCCAAGATCAGTTCCTGTCTTCTTTGGAAGATCATATTGGCTGAAACAGAGTAGAGAACTAGCAAGAGGTGAGAAAACTTTTGAAACATCCCCCAGTCTTCCCAAAAACACCTTGCCCTCTCCTGGCCATCCAGACATATATTTGTTGCCTAGAAAACTTGTTCTGCCACCAGGACAAACTCCATCTTTGCTAGCCCTGTCAGGAAGAAGTAACTGCATGACCCGGTGACCAGCATTGTGTTGGCTTTGCTGGGCTCCAGCCCCAACCCTTACCCTCCCCTATTCCCACCTTGCCCGTTTGTCGCATCCACTTACCACCACGTGCCTTCCCTGTTCTTGCTTGGCCTTGCTTCCAAATCTTGAAGAGGAAAGGCAGACCCTGACTCTGGCTGGGTCTTTGCAGCACAGATCACAGCAGGAGTAGCCTGGGGAGTTGCAAAGCAACAAGTTACAACCACTCCGTATGACTTACACCATTCACTAATGTGTTGGTAATGGTAACCACTTGTGCAGAGGTGGTCACCTGAGCTGCAGACAAGGTGTTTGCATGCTGTCATGGCTCTGATCATGGCAGCTCAGGGAAGTGGCTCCACATCAACAGAGGGGGGAAAATCCCTCTGCAGTACTGCCTGTATCACTAAGAATTGTATACCGCTCCCGTACCATCACTTTGAGAGCACATCCACATCTTAGCGGGGATGGGAAAGTTAGTATAGGATTCTGTCCTATTTTTTCTGACTATAGTGATTTATTAGGTTTAAATTTATGAGGCTTGAAGGAGGGAGTTTAGGAGTTTCCCAAACTGCACCCAAAGCACCCGAAGTTGCTGTTACAACTATTACAACTGGGCTGAACTTCAGCCAGTGCTGTACAGAAGCTTCCATTGACTGCCACTTATTTGTTTATTATATCTCTTCTCTCACTGATGTGGTGTAACTAACTGGACTACTTACTCTCCATTTCTGAGGCAGTAAGTTAGCAAAGGAAGCCAATGTAGTTGATTAAGGAAGTTCATTAATCTGAGAACATGAAACCTAGAAGAAACAAAGAACTTAAAGTAAATAAACATCACAGGTTTTTTATTTATTTATCCTTTATTTAGTAATAGCACCCAAAGCGGCATTATATTAACACAAGTAATAAAGCTTTCATATTTATTCCTACCAGTGCATTTCCAAATCCAGGTGAAATGCTGGAAATATGTAATGCTGCCATGCCATGACCACAGGGTGTAGATCACAATGACACATGACTTACAAGTGAATCCCGATGTAATAAAATAAAAAATTGTAGTTTAGGTATGAAACCTGTAACCTAAGGAACTGTGGCCATTTCTATTTCCACGAAAAGTACCATAACAAAACAGCAGCTGTAGGAACTATAAAGATAACATACTTAATCATACTTTTTGCATCACTTTATTGAATACTCCATGTTGGATGTACAACTTATAGCTATAGTGTGTGTTGGCTACAATGCTACAATGAGAATGTGTATTGCTTGTATTACAGAAAGGGTCATGAAATGTTTGGACCTGTCTGCATGTTCAACAAAATGAAACAGCAATACAATAAAACTGCACCACGTGAATATTGTAAATGGTTAAGTTATAAAGTCATTCATTCAAAAATCCAAATATTTCAATGAAAAAAGTATATAAAATGTAGTAAAACATAAATTACATTTAAAGGTCTGTACATGATTCATCCTGCAAATAGAAGCACAAAACCAGCACTTTGTACAGTATTGCTTATTTTGGTCTTCTAAAGTTCAAAGATTCATTTTCACTAAAGAAGCAGGAAAAAAACATGGTTTCACATGCAATCCAGCAGTAATTGCGGTAAATCAAGTAAGTCTATAACCCCCCCCACAAAAACCAACACTTTTACAATGTAGGAAGATATATGTGGAGCCCTTTTCTATACTTGATAACCAATATGCAATTAAAGTTGGATTGTTAAGTTAGTGCACACCTACAATATCCCCTACAATATCCCCATTTTTGGTTAACAGTGTATTAAGGCTGCTTGCTGCTGAAAATACACAGCAGAGAAGAAATACTTTCATCCACAAATGCAGTCAGACGATCTCATTTGGAAGCTTCTGTCACAGTCATTCATCGGGAATGATGAGATAAAGCCATCCTCTCTCCTCTCATGTTATTCCACAGGATGTTGTGGATGCTCTAAGTTTATGTGGGTTCAAAATCATTTCAACAAATTCATGGTAGAAAATTCCATCGAGGGCTATTAAACAGAAAAAAAATTCCACTTCTGGCTTGGGAAGTCCCTAAGGCACAAATTGCTGGAGGCTGGGGAAATACCCTGGGGAAATTCTACAAGGGAAATTGCCCTTGCAGTCTTCCCTGGCCAGACATTATCAATGGCCTTTCGAGACATGCTACTGCGCTGGACAGACCCACGGTCTGACTCAACACAGCCAATTTCAGTTTCCCTACTTTTCTGGTTATCATAATACAAACACGGATCAGTATTTTCAATTTGTTATTTTTTCAGACTCAAAAAGCAAACAACAATCTCATGTCCATTATGTCAAAGAGATAAATACTATAAACTAAGCTGTCCACCACATCCAGGGCACTTCTTTATACTCAGAACAATTCTGCAACCATAGTTGGATTCCTTTTTGTGTTATTGGTTTAAGCATAATTCACTAACATTACACTCACATATCATGATATACATGATGTGCAATGCTACTCTGCGATATGTTGCACAGCAACAGTACATAACTGAAAAGCAGCTTCCCTCAAGAACTGTAGGACAGTAAAAAAGATTAAAACCAGCAATTCTATACCATCGTATTTGCAAAATCTGATGGTGGCAATGGTCAATAAACCTGGTATATCATTACTGCTGCACTTTACATGGGTGTAGGTTTTTAGTTTTGGTTCTTTTAGTCAGATCAAAATCACTGCTATTAAGTCTAAGGATCTACAGTCTCCATGTATGGAAGTGATGTGAAATTCTTAGTAACGAGGCCAAATTCCTTAGGCTTCTGATTGAATTTCTGCTTCATCCATCTGGAGTGTGTCATTATCGCCCAGCAATTCTGTTTCAGGCACAGAGCCCTCCTCTTCCTCCTCCTCCTGGACAGGATTCTGGGCGATGTCTTCTGTTCCGTTGTGCGTGTCATCTGTGGCCTCTGAAAGCAGAGCAGCCCTATCAGCTACTGACGTGTTGGAAGGCGCTGTTGTTACATAGCCTGTGCTGGTGGATCCACTCCCACTGTGGTGGGAGCCTGGCTTGGGTATGATCTGGGGAGGCATCTGCTGAGGAGCCATTTGCATTGGAATTTGGACGGGGTAAAAATTTGGCAAGTAAGCTCCATAGGCAGGCATTGGCTGGTAACCATTGACTGGAATGTAGAGCTGAGGAGCTGGGACCATCGGTCTCATCTGCCCTTTCATTTGTATGAACTGCGGTTGAGGGAAAGCTGGAGTTTTCTGCTTTGGTCCAATGTACCTAGCATTGCTGACGTTGCTAACAGGGCTTGTACTGAGAGAACTTGTTTGCGTGGTGTTGCTTGCCCCAGAGGTTTGTGCTGAGCTGTTGTAATTAGAAAGGTTTCCCCATGTTCTTAGTCTGTTGTGTATATCTTTAAATCTTGGTCTTCTGTTGGGAAATTCATTCCAACACTCCAACATCAAAGTGTATATCCATGTGGGGCAGTCATCAGGACATGGCAACACCTGTCGGTTCCTGATCATCTCAATGACATCCTGGTTAGAATAACCACAGTAAGGCTGCAGGCCATAGCTGAAAACTTCCCACAACACAACTCCATATGACCATATATCCGAATCAATAGAAAACTTGCCATACATAATAGCCTCAGGGGACATCCACCGGATAGGAAGAAGAGAATTTCCCATCAGTTTGTAGTAATCAGCAGCGTAAACTTCCCTGAAAAGGCCTAAATCAGATATTTTCACATTCAGTTTATCGAACACCAGTATATTTCTAGTGGCCAAGTCCTTGTGGACAACATGGTGGCTTGAAAGATATTCCATTCCTGCAGCTATCTGAGTCACAATGTGGAAAAAGTCTGCTGGTTCCAGAGTGGATTTTACTGTCTTGTCATCATCAGTGCTGCCAACATCCGAATGGGGAGATCTCATCACCAAGAACTCATGGAGGTCACTGTGGGAACAATAACTAAAAATCATGCTTATGGGTTGTTCCTTCGTCACTATTCCCAGCAAACAAACAATGTTTGGGTGCTGTAATCGTGATCTCATCATTGCCTCATGTTTGAATTCTTCCCGAAGAGCCAGTTCTGCTTTGTCTTTAAGTGTCTTGATAGCAACAGCTTGTGTTTGTTCACCTGGTGCCGTACCAAAAAGATGCCCCTTGTAGACTTTACCAAATCTCTCCTCTCCTAGTTCCTCCATGAACCGCACAGTGGACAGATTGATTTCTTTAAGTTTAGCCTGAAATGAAGTAAAGAAAGTAAGTCAGTAAAAAATCCCAATGTTTTCTAAACAACAGAATCTCTTATTAAAGAAAAGTTCCCAGTGGTTAGGTGCTCCAAATGGAAGATAAATTGAGCCAAAAAGACTTTTCAGCTTTTTGTATATTCACATCAGTATATTGATTTTACAGTTAACCTTGAAATGAGTTATATTATTATCAGAAGTGTAAACTGAATTATGCTGCAAGATGATGAGTATAATTATTTTTACAAAGGAGCAACCATATTTCCTGCAAGCTAAATGTGTAATCGGTTCAGAGTAAATCTGGCAAACAATGATGTCTATTAACTGCAGCTGCACTTGACCTATAGATCTGTGCAGCGGTGCCCAGTGGAGATCTGTCCAAAAAGCTGCGGGCACTGGCTGAGGAGGTGGCAGTCTCAGGGTGAACTGAAACATCCCTTCCAGCTGAAGGAGGAACAAAACCTCTGTCTTTTGGTTCTGCAGTAGCAGATATGCCCTTTGTCCCCCATTGCACTAGTACTGTGGGTAGCACTACACTCTCAGTTTCCCCTGAGAAACCTCGTGCTAGCTCTGATGAAGAGGGAGGTGCAAGAGGAGCAGAAGGAAGAAGAAATTTCTCTCGGGTACATGAAGGAGAAGGTGGCAAAGCCAAGAGTGAAAAATCTCCAGAGCCTCCCCCCTGCAGCTGGCAGGGAAAGCAAGGGAGTTTGTGAAGATGATCTAATGGGTCCATCCTGACCAGCATGGGCTGGAGGAGTCTCCAACCAAGCCAGATGCAGCTGGCACAGCTTCACACACAGAGCATGGCAGCAGGAGGGAGCAGGGCAGGCTGGAAAGAGGCTTTAACAGGTAATTTGGGAACAAGCTCTGATTTTAGTGGCCAACAGACTGTGGACTGAACGAGAAAGTTTCCAGCAGAGCCCAGACTCAGCCATTAAACCTCCCCTTTATCACATAAAATCAATGCAATTTGTTCACAGAATCACAGAATCACTAAGG